GTATGCAAAACATACAAACCACACACAGAACTTTAACGGAAAACACTACTAAATGAACACCCATTTCTGCTTTGCCAAGTTACACAGATGACGTTTATGGTACAAATACTTTGAGGAACCCTTTCTAAGCACACAGTATAGAATGAGCTGTTTTAATGTAATTCATCACCTTTTTCTTCTAACAAGACATGAAGCCAACTTGGCTTGCATTTCTGATTTTCATCCCAAATGGAAAACCACTTATAAATATCATTTTCCCACACATGATTAATTCACCACCCAACTTCTAAAAAGCTTTCCTGTCAACTGTTTTAATATTTATAAATCTTCATCAGCAGCAAATTAGAAATGCATATACCTGCCAGGTTTGACCAGAGCTTTTTTTTTCTTTTTTCTAAAAGAAAAACCTTCACACACTATCACCTCCTAAAACCAAAACACACTTTTTTTTGAAAGCACAAAATTCAATTCTTCCCATACTCCTGGTGAAATTATTTACAAATAATCAAAACTGTGGATAAACTCATGGACACAAGCAACTTTTAACATTAATATAAGTTTGATATGATACATACATATGTAGCTAATTTATCACAGCACTGAAAAGGAATAGTTAATTTATAGTAACAATTTATTCTAGGGGATGTAGGGCAATAGTTTTAATCCCATGCTAAAGTAATTAATTTTAAAATTAGGCTGTTTAAAACATCAAATTTTAAAATGTATCCCGCCTTCCATAGGCTTACAATGCTATAATAAAGCTAAATTAAAAATCAACAGATGAAGTACCATTTCAGACCTATAAACATTGAGATACCAGCTTCATATAAAAGTGTACTATACTTGTAGAGTCTGCAAAAATATTTTGTCACTCATTCACTTAATAAATTTTCTCCCAGAATTAACATTAAAAACACTGAAATAATTTATTTTTTTCCTTGAAGTACCTATTTTCCCCATCCCACTAGAAACTTTTGTCCCTCCATGAACACACAATGCCCTAGCAGCAGTAAGGCACAGATTTGCTAAGCTAAATAAATAGGAAGACCCAAAATTTATTATCAGAAATACATTAAAGTAATTTTCAGACTGCAGGTCTGTCTGAAAACTCAAAACAAATGGGCTTACCTAATATCCAACACCAAACACCTGAAAGGTGTTTACTTCCTAATTCTTCTACTAGTTTTTCATTCCATCCTGCTAATTTCAACTTAACTTGAAATTCCCTGGATTAATTAATCTTGTGGGCAACACAAGAATAGTGGGCCCCAGGAAGGAAAGGAAGGGAAGAAGGAAGGAAGTTGATGGGGTCCTCCTCTTCTTTAGCTTTTTTCCAATTAGCACTTATTTATCCTATGGTGTAGTTACTAGCTTGGAAGAAACAGGAAGGCTCTAAGAGAAAATTAACTCTGATGGGAGATCATGTGTGTCTTCAACCCTCCTTGATACCCAGTGAAAGGGAAGGTGTTTCTTCCTTCTATCACCTCCCATATCCCAACTCTCTTCCTCTTTATGGTGGATCTTCCTTTCTCTAAAGCTTCCTTTTGCCACTGTTCCATTTCTTCATCCCTATCCCTCATTGGTAACATGCTGACATTCTGCAACAATCTGAATCAAAGGGGGTGCATGTGCATGCGTGTAAATATGTAGATATTTTGGGAACAATATTAATCAGAGAGAGAGAGAGAGAGAGAGAGAGAGACAGAAACAGAGACAGAGACAGAGACAGAGACAGAGTGGGTGGGTGTGTGTCTCCATATCATTTTGTTACCACAAGTTACAGTCATTCATTCAAGAAATGTACAATTTTTAAAATAAAAAAAACGTTCATGGCACAGTCATACACATAGTAAGGCCACAGACATGGTGATGACCCATTATGTCCTAAAATTGGACACATATATGGAAATGCCTCTATCAAAGCCACAACTCCCCGAAGGCTTTATCTCTCCAGCTTAATGTTCTCTTACATTTAGAGTTAACTTCTAGATGAAAGAAGAAGAAATATTTTGACAAGATAGAAACATCAGGTTAAATCTGGTAATTACAAAGTTTAGATTAGAAGCTTTACTTTTCTCTTTAATTTCTAAAGAGAAATCTGCTGAAAACACATTTAATTTGGGAATTTTCAGGACAGGTTTGATTTTCTTCTCCCTGTAGTTTATTTAACAAATTACCATCCATCCCTATTAGAAATCTGATTTAGAGCTAGAAAGACCAGAAAGGTCCAATAGTCTAGTCCAGCCTTCTCACATTGTTCCAATTTCAGAAGCAATAAATGGATAAAGGAGAGAAAAAATATTAAAGAATGAGAAAATACATAAGGACAGCAAGAGAGGTAGGGGGGAAATGATGGAAAGGGTAGGGTAGCAGAGAGAGGAAAGAAAATTAAGGGAGAAGATATACCATGGGGAAAGGGACAGATGTGTCAGTGGTACTGAAATGCAGGTCATGTTGAGATTCATGGCATAGTGTTCAACAGTGACTGGAATAAACAAACAGAGCCGTTGTCATTAATACCTTAAAATCTTGCTAAAAAAATATTTTGTAACAATTTCTCCAAAAATAGAAAAACAAAAAGATAATGGCAGGGTATGCCAAAATGAGATTTTGCCAACTTCTTCCTCTTGCCCCAAATCAGGCATGAATGGGTTGTTGAAATAATTTCATTACTTCTGTAATATAAGGAAATTATATTTTGTGCTTCTACATCTTTTAAGCTCCTTTAACGTGATACAACTTTTCTGCTTATCGAAAGGGAAGGGAGGAAAAGGAAAATAGGTTTCCTTATTAAAGTTAAAATACTGTCTCAAATCAAGTAACAAGACTTCAAACCATTTTTCAGACTAGGTAACAATGCATACTGGCTTTTGGAGATGAATAGAAGCCTTTAAAACAATTAATATGATACATAAGCACTTCCAAAAGAAATCAGCCATGCAAGTAAGTCTCATTTAACTGTGTCAAATTAAAGAAATAATACATTTAATTGCTAGCCAGTATCTTAATTTTTGTACCCCCACAGATACCTCACAAAATCCTATCAAAATCAAACAGCAAATTATATTTTGAAGGCTTTTTCTACCAGATAGGAAAAATCTTCTACTACAGATAAAAAACAAATCTAATTCAGTTTCTTCACCTCCTTCAAGTATCCATCCTCCCAATTTCCACAAAATGTGGACACTTATAGTTAAACACTTCTTTTCCCTAAAACATATTTGCCAATACTCTAAAGGAAGAATAAACAAAAAAATTAACAAAAATTAGCAGCTTTGACCATTTAAAAATAATTTATTTTAAATTATCTTAGGAGAAGATGAGAAAAACATTATTTTAAGGCTCATAATTAAGTATGCAATACTGGGAGAAAAGCACAATTCCAACCTGAAACTCAAATACCAAATACACAATTCACTGTCATATCAATGAAGATATTACATATGACTACCAATTAATGCCTGTTTACTGCTCAATGGGCTTGGTGGTCATGGAGAAGTACAAAAGAGAAATTTTTTAACAAGGTCAAGGGAGGGACCTTGTCCTGTTGAATTGGAATTTTCAAACCTAGAGTCATATGCCACATGTAGTCAGGAGAGGCCATCAGTGGCATGCGTCCTCCTAACACATTTCTTGGTACAGAGGACCACATTAGCAAATATGTGACTCACCAACTTTGCTGGTACAAATCAAATGTTTGCTGGTATATACTCACTGGTGAATACCAGCTAAAAAAAAAATGTGCTGGTTAAGACTATGCCTCACATACCTTTGTACCCCTCTCAACACTCAACAGTGGTTTGCACAAAGTAGACCCTTAATAAAAACTGACTGAATTAAAATAAATGCCACTTACATATACACTGCTACAGGATTCAAGTTGAGTTAGCAATGATCTGCCTCCCTTGCCCTTTTTACAATGCCAAGTAAGAGGTCCTTTTGAACCACAATGCTAACAAATAGCTAAGAATTTTGAAACTTTCAACACTGTATACAGAATTCCTAGCTAACTGCATAAATAACAAATATCCTAACCATTAGGATGGCCAAAAAATATGCATCATTCAACAAAGGCCATGGGTACAGAAACAACTTATTTCATAAGGATGAGCCAAGGGGAATCTCTGTTCATGACCACATACTTCCACTTAGCTCAGGCCTACCATCTTGCCAGCTATACTGTCAGCATTGAGAACTAGGTAAAAGTAAGGGGATGGATGACAAGCGTGATCTTTCATTACTATGGTGAGTCCAGTTTTCTCCTGACTGTAGAATTCTCATAGATATTCACATCATATGCATGCCATTTTTAGGCGAGCTAAGACATAATGTTAGTCCTCTGGTCGCTGAAGTAGTATCAGCAGCCTTTAGCTACACCCTAGGTATGTGGGTAGCCATGTTTCATCTTCCTAGAGGAAGGGCCTAGAAATGGTGACCTCAACATGATCTGCATCACATTAAATAAGCCTCCTTCACCAGATTATGAAGTCTAGAAGGCTGGACCTCCACAGTGAAGCTAAACGCTATTACTCATGGTACAGAAACATTAAGTCATGTTACTGAAAGAAAACCATAAAAAATTAAGCTTAGAGGGTTTAACCTCTCTCTCTCTCTCTCTCTCTCTCTCTCTCGTAGAATCCCTTCTTTGCCATTGTTCCATAGGACAATGGAACACAAAAGGGATAAAAAAAGAATGGCATTGGTTGGTGTCCTTGAAGTGTCCAGGTATGTAATCAATAGCATTACCCAGAGAGAAATCAGACCTCTGGATGAAAGCTCAGAGACAGGCCTTAGTTACAGCCAAAACAAAACAGGACACGAGGCAAATGTTTCATTCTTCCTGTTTGAACTAGATTCTGAAGTGTAATCAGAAGAAAACTCTCATCAGAATGAACTCTAAGCCTCAGTGTTTTACCTTGCAGTGGATTTATGTGATGCCCCCAAAACCACTTGTGGTGTGGGGAAAAGTTCTTGAACAGACAGTTGAGAGCAGCAATAACTCCTTCTGGATGAATTTACTACAAAGATCAGATCTCTTAAATGCAAACTAGATAAAACTCCTTTTTTAAATCACAGTTAATTTGAACATTTTTTGGGGGGGGAGTAAAGACTAGCTCAACTCTGGTACTACCAAACATCAATTTTCAATTACCAACAATTCCTTTATATTTTTGTGATCCATTTTTCGGTCCCTAATTCCCCCAACAGTCTTTTCATTAAAAATAGATCATGAAAATGTATAGCAAAATCCCTAAGGCCAATTCTTAAACTCCAGAATAAAACTTACAAGTAGAAGAATCAATAATTAGGATGGGGAAGGGGGTTGGGGGAGCACCCAGTGAGTCATGCATCTTTCACAGGGAAAGTGAAAATCAACGGCAAGACTTTAAAGCTATGTCGAGAAACATAATTTTCTTTTAAAATACACAGAAATAATAGTTATGATTTACAAATCATCAAAAATTCAATATTTTCTACCAGCTCAATGACCAACTTTTAAAAGTTCTGGAAAAAACAAATCAAACTGTTCTGTTATTTTTAATCAGTCAGAAATGTTCTTCTATCACAGACAAATACAGTTATTTATTTCTTGCATATAGATGGGTGTTTTGGCTCCTTGTGCTTTCCATCCAAATGGAACTGGGGAGAAATCCTTGATGGGACCTCATTTTTAGCAAGGTACATTATAAAGTAATGCCAAGTGAGCTTTCAAAATTAATCCTTGGTTCTTCCTTACTCTTTATGAAAAGTACTATAGGTTTAATGATGCTGTTGCAATAAGTCACTCAAATATGGTCTGTTCAGATCTAGATTTCAACCCACAATCTATCTACATATATGCACCTTGAGTGTGACAACTGCATGAAAACAGTCTCCAAAACAAAGATGGCGAGTGAGATAAAAAGCGACCCATCTTCCTCAATCTTGCATCTTAAAGGGAAGGGAGTAGGGAGTGGGGGGAGTCCCTGTTGCTTTCCATCATCTCAAGAAGACTGGATGGCCTCATGCACAGTCTTCCACAGATTGTCTGTAGCCCAGGGCCCTTCAGACTGACCCTTCTCAGCTCTGGGAAGAAGAAGCGTATCCTTGTAGACCTTCTGCTCATTTGTGGGATGTCTTCTCAAGTTCTGGGAGTTTTTTGACCAGTGCCTGATGGTTCATGTTGATGCTGGCTAGAAGTCCCCCTTCATTGCCATCGGAGCCGGTGTAACTTATCTCTTCACCGCTCAAGGTGGTCATATGACCCCCAAGAGCTTTGAGGAGGGCATTGCCAGCACAAATATCCCATTTTTTAATATACGTCACATGGATATAGATATCAGCTTTTTCTTGGTTCTCATCAGGCACATCCAAGAGGGATAAAACTTTGTAACCTAAAGAATAAAGCATACAGAGTTTAGGTTACTGTTTACTGTAAGTGGCTTGTATTTTGAGAGTGTGTACTTGACACTCAACCTAAATAATAGGATACTATTTTTATATTATCAATTATTAATCACTTTAAATACTGATAATTATGCTTAGTGATGTTTAGAGTTTAAATTATGATTAGACTCCTGTAGTTCTGATTTAAAGTGTATTTTTTCCTTGCAGTTATTTTCAACAGAATGGTATGTTCATATGGAAATAAAGACTAAATAAATTACTACTCACTTTTTTCACTCAAAAACTTCAGAAAATTTTACTTGGAAGCTAAAGTTGAAAAGTTTTGTCTTGTTTTTAAACTGCATCATGACCTTTTTGATTCTCCTAGGCCATAATTCCTGTTTTTACCTCTATTATTCTTTAGTCAGCTTAGACGCCAAGGAGGGCTAGTTGAACAACCCACTCATTAACTTCCAATATCCACCACTCTCCTCTTTCCTCTAGTGCCTTGCTAATGCCCAGTGCTGGATATTTACCTTCTCTTACTCCTGTAAGTCATAAAAGTCTCTCAATTACAGAGGTATGCTTTGTAACCAACCTCAACTAGTTCCTCACTGCTGATGAATAACTCTTATTTATCACTGATTAACTTTCCCACACTCCCTATCCCAATTCTTCTCTCCCCTTAGGCCTTGTCAGAGCATCTGAGCTTCATCACATAATATGTCTGTAACTTAAGCATATATCATATAACTTCTGTGCCTCAGTTTCACTATCCTCAAAAAAGAGCATAACCTCACAAAATTGATGTGATGATCGAAAGGGAATCTGTAAAGTGGTTTGTAAACATAAATCACAGATTTAGAGCTATGTGGGACATCAGCGATCCTCCATTTACAATCCCTTGGTGGGGCAGTGGATACAGTGTTGGGTCTAGATTAAGGAAGACTCATCTTCCTGGGTTCGAATCTGGCCTGAGACCCTTAATTAGCTGTGTGACTCTGGACAGGTCACTTAACTCTGTTTGCCTCAGTTTCTTCCTCTGTAAAATGAGATGGAGAAGGAAATGGCAAACTATTCTAATATCTCTAAGAAAATCTCAAATGGGGTCATAAAGAGTTGGATACGACTGAAAAATGATGGAACAACAACTGAAAATTGAAAATCCCTATCTCATTTTGTAGATGAAGAAACGGATAGAATAGAAGAAGAGAAATTTTCAGCCCTATGTTCTTATAGGTCACATCAAAGCCAACCAAAATTCAGGTCCTCTGATTCCAAATTTCATTGCCCTTCCAATAAACCAAGTTGGATCATTTACTTAAGAGACTTTTCATTTTAGTCTGTTAGCACTACACCAATATATCTAAAGTCTAATCTCTAAACAAGCATTATTGCATATATTTAAGAAATCAAGTTTAAAGTACAAAAACAAGTATACCCATGATTCAAGAATTAAATCATATTCTCTTTCTATATCCTCTTCTCCATTCTCTTATTCTCACTTAAGGATATGGGAAAAAATTTAAAAGCATGGCTTAGCCATGCTAAGTCCCTATTAGTGCAAATAAAGAATCCCTTAAGTGGTCATATATATTTAAATTCACACTATTCAAAGTCATAATTATTTACAAAATGATAACTGGTTCAAACTCAAAGGAAATATGAAATGTAAATCTGAGTAAGTTTCAATCACTTAAGGGGATTTGTTATTTGCATTAATTGAGATCTTGCTGCACTAATCATTTTAAAAAGGAGAGAAGAACATTCACCTTTAATACTCTCCCCACTTCCCAGATACAAGAGAAAGACTGCTGCTCTCCTGGCCCAAGATTTGACTATATCTGCAATGTTTCTGCTTCGTAAATACTACTGCATATTAATTTGTTAAAAAATAACTTTCCTTAATGGCTTCAAGTTATAATCATAGAACATTTAATCCAACTTCTTTATTTTATGGACAAAAATCATTGTTCCTTGGGAACAGTGAATTCCCCTTAAAGATAAAGCTAAAATTTTTAAAAAGTAGATTTAAATATTCTTGAACCATCTACTATATGCATGGTGCTATTCGAATATAGAAAAAAATTAGATGAAGTTTTTGGCCCCAAGGAGCTCCAACCTAACTGGGGAAACAAGACCCACACAATAAACTCACTTCCATATTTTAAATTGGCAAAGTATAAAATTTTGGCTCAGTGAAAGGAAAACCTTCCTAACAACTAGAAACACTTCAAAGTGACAGAGGGTAGCTTACTTCTCCTCACTACAAATCTTCAAGCCAAGGCTGAATGACCATTACCAGGCTACTGGAGAGGGGATTCTCCCTCATATGTGCATTGGACTAGATGAGGATCCTTCTGACTGAGGTAAATCCCTAAGTATGTGTAACTGAGTCAGATCACAGATAATGGAGGCAATAATAACATACCTGCACCACCTGCAGGTATGATTGTAGTCTGATTCCCAAATGTCTGAAGAGCCACTTGTTTAACTGTTCCTGAGTGGGAGCGAGACACGATGATCCTTGGTGTCTTCTCATTGTAGGAAGTACGAGCTTTCACATTGGATCCACCATCCACCATTGCCCAAGCTATAAAGGTAATTTATCATCCATTAGCAACTTTGGAAGATGTCCAGGTCTTCGAAACTAGAAGTTATTCTTTAGTGTCACAAACAACTCTAAATGATTAAAAAACCATCCCCTCCCAGAAAAGAATCCTCTGCAATGACATTTAATTAAAATAAGCAAAAACAATTATATATGACTAATTTACAAAATTGCTATTTCTCTTTATTCCTGATTTATATTTTGCTATTGTAGCTAAATTATACTATCATTTCAGAATATGTGTCTGAATTTCTATAATTTCAGAAAATGTTCTCGTCCACTCCCAAGGACTGTCAAAAGGTAACTTTTAAAACACACATGTGAAACTATTTTCCCTAAAAAAGATAATTAGAATCATGCGTATATACATATATACATGTATATAGCATATATATAATATGCATGTATGTGTGTTTATTTATGAGTGCTTATATATTTCTTTCCCTCTGAAATACATCTAACCGGGGCAAAAGTGGCATTCCTACAACACAATTTGTGGCTAAGCAGCACAATTCTCTACTTGGCTTTAAATATATCAACATGATCAAAGAGTTACCTGGATGAGATTGTCTGTTTTCCCTTTTAGGAAATAAACATAAAAATCATATAAACCTAGATCTTTGACCAGGGATCTGTAGAAGTCTTTGTTTGAGGGCTGTAACAGAACCAATATCCACCAAGGTATCCCACCCACAGTTCCATAACCACCCTGAACATGGGTTATGCTAGTTTTCCCTCAAAAGGCAACAAAGCTATCCCTAATTGACCCCTGAAGTTCCTACGGCCATACTAACAGGACTTGCTGGTTATATAAGGGAATAAAAAAGACCTACCTGCTTTAATACTTGGCAGATGTTACAATATATGACTAGCCACCACACCATGCCCTGCTAACCAGACACATTTCCATAAAGAAGTAAGTGTGTATATGGGTGGTAGTAGTGGAGAACTACTCCAATTAAATCCTAATATATCTTCACTGAATATTTTTTCTATGCTACAATTAAGTAAACCTTCTTTTAACTGTTCAATGATCTATGCGTGACTTATTTTGTCCCAATATCAAACCTGAATTAACTGGTTGCTGTCCTGACCCAAGCTTGTCTTCTCTATCTCTACAACAGTATTAAAAAAAAATTACAACTAGGTGTGTGTGTGTGTGTGTGTGTGTGTGTGTGTGTGTGTGTGTGTGTGTGTGTGTATATACATATATATACGTATATATATATGTATATATACCTAGTTTAATATTAATTAAATTGTTCTCCAATAGCCCAATCAAGTGACAATTATAGCTATGGAACAAAGAAATCCATTTCCCATGTTATTCCTGGATGAAAAGGTGAAGATTGTGCAACACATTCCCAAACTTAGAGACATTAAAAGAATTAAGTAGAAACATTCAAAACATGAAGCAATTTAAAACAAAAACCTAACAGTAAACATTTGCTCCTACAGTTACCATATCCTGGGGAGGAAAAACAGTAACAACAACAAAAACAAAACAAAAAACCTCCAGATTCCTTTAGAAAAGGAAAAAAAAAAGCACATATGTGCTTCAGTTAGAGCATGTTTTATTTACTAAGAAAAATATTTGCAATATAGTCTCTCTAGAGGTCAGTATTGTGTAAGGGAAAGAAAATGTTTATCTGTTTTAGAACTAAATATTCTATACCAGAATATTTCAAATCATAAATCTGTTACCTTTATTTTATGAAAATTGCATGTTTAAATAAATATATGTACAAATATTTTTTTAATCAGTTATAAGTTACACAGCAGAATTGTTCAAAATTTTAAAAGGTACAATGTGACCACCACCCAATGGCAACTTAATAAAAATCAATTATGGTATAACAGTGATGATGAAAACAGCAGCTATAAAACATACTTTTAGCTTTATAGGTTATAGGTTATAACCTTAACCCTAAAAGTCCTTGCTTAGGGGTGCAAAAAAGCCATTTTGTTATGGACAATTGGAACTTCAACACAATCCACCGGGCACAGTATTTGGTATTACATGGAATTGCCTTGCAATTGTATGTCTTTTTAAGTATCTATACTTGTCCACGCAAGGGTTTATACATTCTTTTGCTAAATACTGAATTTTCAGACTCTTATTACAGTGCTGCAATCTGTTTGGCTTGGTCACCATGTTTTAACTAGACTACAGAGACAAGATCCAGACTCAGAAGCCAAAGTTAAAACACCCAGCACTGACTGGTAGGGAAGAATTCTAAAGGGAGCTTTCTTTAAATATATTAATGCTTTGTGAGAGAAATGCAGAGCAGTTCAAACTTTGTGATACAGCACATAGTGCCTAATAATGATGATGGTATTAATAATATCAGCTACACTTTATGTAGTGCTTTAAGATTTTCAAAGCATCTAGATAACTGATGGACCATTCCATATGTGCCCCACATTCCCTCTGCTTCCTATTTACAATATGTTCTCGGCAAGTCCTTTTTTCAGAGAGGTTATAAAAGTAGAACCGTTTAAAATGATCACAAATTTCTTGTTGGTGGAGTCTTAACTCACTGAAGTTTTACTGAAGTATAGAATTATCTTAAAAGGGAAAAAATAGCCACCAATGCTTCATGAATAAATGAGTTAATGGATATTGATGGAACCTGAACCAGAGGGAGAGGGCTTCAGTTAAAGTAGGATGGCTTTATACTTTGTACCTTCTTTGTTTGGTTTAAGAGGAACACTACTTCTCAGGCCAGTTAAATGCTGGAATGGGAATATTTTGTAGTTCATGCTCTTGGAGATACTTAAAAGGAGAAAAGATAGTTCCTTGATGAAACAGCTTAGATATTCATTTTTTGGGTGAGGTACCCAGGTCCAATGGACTCATGGGGTTCCTTGACCTCATAAGGGGAGTATAAGGAACTATGATTTATTCTGGTTTGAAAAAAATCCTCTCTCTTCCCACCCAAACAACCCCCATGCAGAGCAGCCATTGATAACTTACTGCCTGGGACAGATGTCTATGGGACACTGATAGATTACATAACTTGCCTACGTCTACAGGGCTCGCACATATAAGAAGGACACAAATGCACTGGAGAAATAAACAAAAAGGATGAAACAAACAAACCACAAGTCCCATGGCAACTGATTTTATGCATCAGGAAAAGGACTAGCTTCTAATCTTTGCACATCAATCGACTCTTTGTGATATTTAGCTTGTGATCACCTGGGACCTGCAAGGTCTTTTCTTCTGAATATTTATTTACAGTCATCTTTTATTTGTACTGCTGTTTATTCATGTGTGATGGAAATGTATTCAGTGCATATTTAATATGCTCTTTTTTAAATGTTGTAAGTATGTCACCACTTGTGTCTCATTACACTTCATTTTGTAAAATTATTTTTAAAAAAATAATTTTCAGGATCATTCTGAATTTTTATTATCCTGCATTCCATAGTCTTAAAAACCCCACATAATTTAGGATTTGAACTAGAAGAGCGTAAAGGTCCCTTCCAACTCTAAATCTATGTTCCTGTAATCAAGAATATCACACATGGGAAACACAGTGAAGGATGAACTAAAACAAGACATAGTGGATGCTTTACTTCCCTCTCATCTGTGTCTTTTATCACTATCACAGAGGCAGATTAAATCAGTCCAGCATGATTCATAAGCAATAATAATTAGCATTTACACAGCACTTTGAAGGTCTGCAAAAGCATTTTAAAAATCTCACTTGATCCTCAAAACAAACCTGGAAGACAGATGCTATTATGATACCCATTTTATAGATGAGGAAACTGAAGCAAGATAGATGTTATCATCCCCCCAATTTACAGATGAAGAAACTGAGGCAGCAGAGGTTAAGTGCTTTCCTTGCTCATGGCCATATAGCTAGTAAATTATCTGAAGCCACATCTGAACTCAGATCTTCCCAATTCCAGGAATGGGGCTCTATTCACTGTATTGCACTGGCTAGGTGCTATGCAACCACCACAAAAATCTGTGCCTCTGGATGGAGAAATCTACAGACCAAGGATCTAGGGATCCCCAAGACTTTAAATCAAAACTCTTTTCACAGTAATACTAAGATATTTTAATTTCTAGCAATGGTATACATTGATAGATATAATCCATAAGAACAAAAGCTTTTTGCAGGGAGTGAAGTCTTCAATAATTTTTAAGAGTGTGAAGGGGTCTTGAGACCAAAAGGTTTGGCAACTGCTTATCTAAATTATAGTACAGTTAGGCAACTTGAGAAGTGGACAACGGCCAGCCCCAAAGGGAGATTACAAAAGAATCCATGTCAACTTGGAATGAGGTCCCCAGTGGAATATGTGCTTGACCCTCTCCTGTTAAACACGTTCATCAATGAGCTGAATGAAGGCAAAGATGGCACACCTGTCAAAGATAAGCATAATACAAAGTGGGAGGGACAGCTAATATGGAAGAACAGGATTAGGATCTGAAAAAATTCACAATCATAAATATCTCAGAATAATGAGGAACCTCAAAAAGGCCATTCTGATCCTTTGGCTTTTGTCCCAATCAGTGCTTTTATTTATTATTATTGTTATTGTTATTTGTAAAAAGGAACTTTTGGTGAGCACACTTTCCCTAGAGCAAAGTATATCAGGCACTTGTGCCCTTCCGGATTGCCTGGGGCACCGAGACATTAAATGACTAGCTTGGGGTCAGGCACAGAGCCAACACTTGTTCAGGGCGGAAGGGAAGCTCTCCTCTCCATCATTAACAACAAATGTTCAGTCGGCCCCTGCTGGAAGACAGGCCCTGCAGTGAACTGTGGCATCCTTAGGCATCTCATTCCAGCTCTAATTGTTAGCATGACTTTGCCTATACAGAACCTCAATTGGCCTCGTGACAACTTCTACCCATTGTTCCCAGTTCATTTGGCCCTTTTATCTCTCCCACTGTGACAGCCTTTAACATATTTGAAGATAGCTATCATGTTGCCCTTAAGTGTTTTCTTCAGACTAAACAATCC